AAGCTGCATGATCTTCAACATTACATGTCTATAAAAACTTTACTTACTGTACCTCTTTTAAAAAAGCTTTAACAATCTATGAAATGATCCTTAATGATTTGATTTATTTAATTACAAAATTATATTAAAGCTCCTATTTCTTCAAAGGATATTCTCTTTAGAACTTAGACATCTTTACATTATAACTTTCTGCTTTCCTCTTTATGTGTAAGCAAGTAAATTGAAACTAATAAAATGAGAAGTATAAAAAGTTCCTGTGTTAAATGTTAGACCTGTTTCACAGCTAATAAACCAACCAGTGCTCCAGCAACATCAGCAGCAGCTCCGGTGACAGCTAAGGTGTTGGAGCCTGTTCAGCCATCAGTCCAGAAGATGGAGCCACTGAGTGAGGATGAAAGAGGCCAGGGGGACATTCAGCCTGTGGGACATGATTATGTAGAGGAGGTAAGACACAAATAGTTATGATCTCATTGTCACCAGAACTGCATCTGACTGCTAATATCGAAACCTATTGTTTATGTGTCAAAAGTAAATCAAATGACATGGAAATAATGGTTATAAAAGTATAGTGCTTTTCTCGCTTGGAAACTGCGTCACATTTGATCTGAAGTTTCCACCTGTTAAGTATGAGAGGTAAAAGTAGCAGAGTAAAGAAAAAAAAAATTGAGGTAATCAGTCTTTGTGTGAATTAAAATTAAATAACAGAGCAGTATATCACAGATGTTACTGCAATGTCTGGTTGGTATAGCATTTAAAGTGCAGGTTTGATTAGCTTTCAGTTGTAGGTGCTGGTCATAAAATTAGAATATCATGAAAAAGTTGATTTATTTCAGTAATTCCATTCAAAAAGTGAAACTTGTATATTATATTCATTACACACAGACTGATAAATTTCAAATGTTTATTTCTTTAATGTTGATGATTATAACTGACAACTAATGAAAACCCCAAATTCAGTATCTCAGAAAATTAGAATATTGTGAAAAGGTTCGATATTGAAGAGACCTGGTGCCACACTCTCATCAGCTAATTAACTTAAAACACCTGCAAAGACCTTTAAATGGTCTCTCAGTCTGGTTCTGTAGGCTACACAATCATGGGGAAGACTACTAACTTGACAATTGTCCAAAAGACGACCACTGCCACCTTTCACAAGGAGGGCAAGACACAAAAGTTCATTGCTAAAGAGGCTGGCTGTTCACAGAGCTCTGTGTCCAAGCACATTATTAGAGAGATGAAGGGAAGGAAAAGATGTGGTAGAAAAAGTGTACAAGCAATAGAGATAACTGCACCCTGGAGAGGATGGTGAAATAAAACCCATTCCAAAATGTGTGGGAGATTCACAAAAAGTGGACTGCAGCTGGAGTCGGTGCCTCAAGAACCACCAGGCACAGATGTATGCAAGACATGGGTTTCAGCTGTTGCATTCCTTGTGTCAAGCCACTCTTGAACAAGAAACAGCATCAGAAGCATCTCGCCTGAGGTAAAGACAAAAAGGGCTGGACTGCTGCTGAGTGGTCCAAAGTTATGTTCTCTGATGAAAGTAAATTTGCATTTCCTTTGGATATCAAGGTCCCAGAGTCTGAGGAAGAGAGGAGAGGCACAGAATCCATGTTTTTTGAGGTCCAGTGTCAAGTTTCCACAGTCAGTGATGGTCTGGGGCCCATGTCATCTGCTGGTGTTGGTCCACTGTGTTTTTTAAGGTCCAAGGTCAACACAGCCGTCTACCAGGAAGTTTTACAGCACTTCATGCTTCCTGCTGCTGACCAACTTTCTGGAGATGCAGATTTCATTTTCCAACAGGACTTGGCACCTGCACAGAGTGCCAAAGCTACCAGTACCTGGTTTAAGGATGAAGGTATCCATGTTGACCAGCGAATTCTCTGAAGATGTGATACACCAGACCCAACAATTCAGAAGAGCTGAAGGTCACTATCAGAGCAACCTGGGCTCTCATAACACCTGAGCAGAGCCACAGACTGATCGACTCCATGCCACGCTGCATTGCTGCAGTAATCCAGGCAAAAGGAGCCCCAACTAAGTATTGAGTGCTGTACATGTTCATACTTTTCATGTTCATACTTTTCAGTTGACCAACATTTTTAAAAATCTTTTTTTTATTGGTCTTAAGTAATATTCAAATTTTCTGAGATATTGAATTTGGGGTTTTCATTAGTTGTCAGTTATAATAATCAACATTAAAAGAAATAAGCATTTGAAATATATCAGTCCTGAGCTGCACAGCGCCTTGTTTATACCGGCATTTTATGAGGTGGTGGGGGGGACAGAGATACAGCCGCACGCTGTTTACACTGACAGTTTTACAGCTTTGTAGCAAGGCAGAGGAGAGAGACAGACGGATGCATCTCAGCTGTGCGCTGTTTGTACTGACAGTTTTTTTGGGGTGTAGGGGAGGGGGAGAGAGACTCATGCCCCTTTTGCACTGCCCCTAATAAGCCCCAATTCTGGGCAGCCCGCCACAGAAAGAACACTTTTGCACCAGCCCTTTAGCTAGTATATTTAGCTGATTTGAGGCTGATTCAGGACAACTTTTCGTCCCTTCTTCTCTGGTGGGACCGAGCGAGCTCAGCTGAGCTGAGTCGGGACTGAAACGTGAATGCAGAACTCTGATTGGTCAGGGGGAGGAGTCACTGGATCTCAGAAACTTTTCACTGAGCCGCCATTTGCAATTTCTCTGGATGCGGAACAGCGGCTGGATCTATTTTTAAGATTTTAAAAACAATAATGACAACGCCGTGTTTAATTCTGAAGTCCAGGCATTTTTTGTGTTTGGTGACTGACCATAAAATTCGAGTGAGCAGTGTCACCGCGGAGGATCATACGAGCTGCCGAGCCGTTGAAGCCCGTGAGGCCGAGCCCCGGCCTCGCCTGCTCACAAAGGCCGGCTTCGAGCCTTGGCAGGCGGGAGGACCGGGATGGAGGGACGGGGGGTGGAAACTTTTTTTTTTTAAACATTTTATGTATAAAATATAAGTTTTTTTTTTTTTAATCAGTGAAGATTAAAAATAAATAAACGGTGCCGGCTTTATTGTGAAATCCTGTTTTCCCTTTGACTTTATTAAATAATCTGTTAATTAAAGTTAATTCAACTGAAAAATCATAAAAAGACAAAATTATTGAATCTCTCATATTTCCCTCAAACATGTTTAAAGAAGAGACACAGCTTTTGGTTCAACTTTATTCTAACTCACAGATGTACAAATCACAAAACAAGAATTACACTATAAATTAAAGTTTTAAATCGAAGCTAAACTAATTTGAAGCTAAAAATAATCTATACAAGAAAAAAAAATCTGTATACAAGAAACAAAACGACAATGAGTGCAAATACATCAAATGATGAAGAAAAATCTAGAATTTTAAATATAGATATCCTGATGCATGCTCAATAATCCAGGTAGAAAAATCTAAAAAAGTTAAGTCTAGTCCTCTGGACGTTCCAAAACAAACAAACAACAACAAAAATGTAGAAACGTTTCTTCTTTCATCCAGTCTTATATAAATAGCTATGAGCTGAATACAGCACTTCAGAATGAAGAAGACTTTCGGATGAAAGAAGAAACGTTTCTACTTTTTTTTTTTATTGTTTTGTTTTTTGAACGTCCAGAGGACCAGACTTAACTTTTTTAGATTTAAATATAAATGTTTTTGTAGAATCTGGTTCATCAGATTTAATTCAGTTCAGTTTATTTATACAGCGCCAAGTCACAACAGAAGTTGTCTCAGGGCACTGAACAGAAATATTCATATATAAAATAAGTTAACAGAAACATTTATATATAAAAATAATAATTTAATATTATTTATCTGAGGAGCAGACTGCTTTGAGTAACTCATAGCAGAACTCTCATTAGCAGGACTTGGATTCTGGACATGCCTCCAGAATCTGTCCAAAAGTGCAGGTGTAAACCCAGACTGAGCTGAGCCAGGCTGAGCAGGGGTGTGCAGGGCTGAGCAGAGTGGGGGCTGATTAGGGGCAGTGCAAAAGGGGCATAACATGAGCCGTGCGCTGTTTGTACCGACAGTTTTTGAGTGGGGGGTGTCAGCGTGAGGCTTCAGCATGAGGGAAGAGACTGTCTTTAGCTTTTTAGCTAGTGCACCTGCATTGCAAGCTGCTAGTTTAGCGTTACGTCAGTGCCGACAGGTGGTTGGGGATGGGGATGGGGGTCCGGTAGATGGGGTATTCGGCTCTGTTGACGGGGCAGTGCGCCCTGCTTGTATAGTGGTAGGGGAAACACTGGATGATTTATCTTGCAGTCAGTTATTGCAAAAAAAAAAAAGAGCTATTTACAAACTTCAATTTAGGTGTTTTCACATCTAAATATATTATCTCATTAAACCATAAACTATTCAATAAATAAAATTCAAAGAAATAAATGGTTGCAAAACACAGGAAGTTGCTAATAAAAAGGACTAGCACAAGTTTTCTTTGAGAAATTGCATCTAAATAAACCACAAGATCTTGCATGTGTTCAATATGATAGGATAGCAACTGTAAGCACATGGATGATGGGTTGATTATTTGGGCTTGTTTTCCATCCACTGAACCACCTTGCAGGCACCGAGACACTAAGCCTGTCTGTAAACATTTTAGAGTCAATTCTGCAGTGTGTACATCAGCCTGCTACATCTGACTGACTAACTTTATTCAAAGAGCACTCTGATATTCTGAGGTGAGACAGATTCTGCCACCTAAATCTGTCTAATTTTTTGGGATGTTTTATTTTACATTTAGGAATAAACTGATAAAAATCAACAAGCATGGCCACTTGTCTTTTTTGTAGAAATTTGAAAACCTTGGAGTTGAAAGATAGTTCTTTTTATTGTGACTTTGTAGGTCTGGGTCTTCACATGCAACTTTTGTCACTTCTTAGGTTCGTAACGAGGATGGAAAAGTGATTCGGTTTCACTGCAAACTGTGCGAGTGCAGTTTCAATGATCCCAACGCTAAAGACATGCACCTGAAGGGGAGAAGGCACAGACTGCAGTACAAGGTAAACAAGTGAAGAGTGCGGTTGTGACTGACTAGTCACACAGACTAAAAATGATGTATAAAGTCACAGTTCCCATATACGTGCCCAATGTTTTTAGTAATTTTCCATCCCAATTCAGAAATTCTCCAACATTAAACAAAATAGCATAGTTTATTTCTCTGGCTTATAAAATGAGGTATTTTCTGCATTATTTGATGAGTGGAGAGCGATGAACTGATGTGGAAAAATGCCTTCCATGTTTGTGTGATCTCTGTGGATTTCATGTCTCACATCTTCCAAGCCTTTGTATTTTTTAATTTCTATTAGAAAATGACAGCATCTGTATGAAATTACTTTTTATTCACAGCACAGGAATAAGCTATTTCCAAAGACCTGCATCCAGATGTGTTTGTGTTAAAACAGTTTGCTTAATTGTATCTTTATGTCTCAATAAAGCTGTAATAGATTTTAAAAGTAGAATGTTTTACACGATGGAAGCTGACTTGCTACATATAAATGTCAAACTACTTTTCACTCTTACTTTAGTATTGTGTGCACTGAAAAAAAAGGTACAGGATCACATCAGCGTTCTATTACGGTTCTGTTACATTCTCCCCATGTTTTGGGTTACGTTTTCCATTTTCTGTAGAAAAAAGTAAACCCAGAGCTCCCTGTGGAAATTAAGCCCAGTAATCGTGCTAAGAAGCTTCAGGAAAGCAAGTTGAAGAAACAGAAGCAGAAGGCTGTGCTGAAGAGACAGAGAGACGATGAGCAGCGCTGGCACATGGAGATGAGGTCAGACCTAACTCTTTATCACCGACTTAAATTTGGTCCCTTTTGACATCAAAGTTTGACTTTTTGTTCCCGAAAAACAAGATGAGCAATATGCACTCATAGATCACTCCATTAAAAGGGAAGTGCTGAGGGTGACACATGTTGTTCTTTTCACATCACTAATGTTTTTCACAAAATACATTTTATCCTATCTACAAAACAAACAAACAAAAAAATACAATATTGTCTTGGGAAGCAGTGTTTCCCCAAAGGTTATGTGCTTTAGGAGGGCGCTCGTCTCTTCAGGGTTTGGTGGGGTGTTGTTCGTTAGCATAGTGCTGCTACGTTAATGCCAGCAGTTGTTGACCGGGGGGGGGGGGGGGGAACATAGCTGGGATTGGGGGTGGGGGGGTTGTTGTAGCAGAGTGCTTTGGTTTGTAGTCTGAGCCGAGTTGCTACAATCTTGGCTCCCCATCTGGAAGTGGTGTATCTGTGTGGGGGTGGGATTTGGTAGGAGGGGCGCTTGGTTCTGTTGACAGGGTGGGGCGCCCTCCTTGAATAATAATGGTAGGGGGAACACTGGGAATATTGTCACTGAATCATCCTCATTCCTGTTGGATGAATGAGTTGATGATTGTCCTGAAAATTGTCTCTATCCTGCAGACGGTATGAGGAGGACTTGTACCGGAGAAAGATGGATGAGGAGCAGATGTATTGGGGGGAGCAGAGGCGGAGGGTGGTACCTCCACCTTTGATGAGTCATCCCGGTATGCCTGTTCCCCCATTACTGGTGAGCGTTATGCACTTCCTGTTTAATAAGTTGGATTCACAACATGAAAAAATAACATCTGACTTTTGACTGAGATTTAATTACATGGGATCGATCGGTTTGTTTCCCCTCCTGTTCTGCTTTAAGAGTTGTGTTCGTCGCCCCGACTCTGCCGACGACCGGCACATCATGGCCAAACACTCCACCATTTACCCAGTGGAAGAGGAGCTGCAGGCTGTTCAGAGGATCGTCTCCCATTCTGAGAGGGCTCTTAAACTGGTGTCCGACTCACTGCTCGAGGAGACGACAACGATGAGCGCTGCTGCTCCGGAAGGGGATGAAAAAATGCAAGTAGTGACTCTGACTGATATTACTTTTTACTTGTACAACTTTTTTAGAGTCAAGGCAATCAAGTGTTGTACGGTAGGTTTTTAAAATATTTCCATACCATACCACTTTATTTATAATGCACTTAAAAACAGCAGCAAGGCCAACCAAAGTGTGGTACAACAAAAAATATTAATATATCTAAAAATTTTCACATGTACATATTTTCACATTTTAATATTTTCCATTGTTTGATAAATACTTAGCTAGTTATTTATAATTCAGAGCATCTTGTCATTTATTATTTAGAACTTTTGATTTTATTTTGTAGGAGATGTTTGATTCTTTATTTTTACTGTCTGCGGAGTCATAAACACCATCAAACAGTGCTTGAAAAGTGTTAGCTACTTAAACAGAGCAGCCCATAAGCAACAAATGTTTGATTTCTGTGCATTAGCGACTTTAACAAATCACTTGACAGTTTAAAACCACGTTTTTAAAAAAAATTCATGTACCTAATTAAGAGTGTACTAAATTTAAATAGGTTCATAAATCCAGTCTTGTAATTTTTAGTCCTTCCATGGTTTTATCTCTGTCAGTGCTGAGAATGCTGCCCGGCTGCTGAAAGGTGTGATGAGGGTCGGTATCCTGGCCAAAGGCCTGCTGCTTCGTGGGGACAGAAATGTGGAGCTCATCCTGCTAACGGCTAAGAAACCCACCATCTCCTTACTGAAGAACATCACCAAACAGCTACCAAAAGAACTGATGGTAAGGAAACATTAGGAGTTTTTCACTCAATAGGTTTTTATGTTGATAAATAGATTTACTCTATTACAAACAGTAACTTAAATCTCAGACCCTTTGTTAAACACACAAGAAAGGGAACCTTTCAATAGCTATTTTATTGGAAGATCGCCGGTTCAACCCCCCAGACTGACAGCATCAAAGTGTGGGTGGGAAAGGTGAAGCATCCACACCTGCCTCCACCCTCATCTGGTTGAGCCCTTAACCCCAACCATCTGCTCCCCCGGGCGCCCTAGATGGCAGCTTTCTGCTCCACACAGAGGGCTGTGGGAACTCAGTGGTCTGTGGTTGCGTCGGGAAGGGCATCCGGCGTGAAAACATTTGCCAAGTCTTCGTGACTGTCGGCACGTGTTAAAAACCATCTGGGAATTTTCAAAAAGTAGATACGAGTTGAGTTTTATAAATAAAGTAAATGTGCACTGACCAGAGTTTTCTAGGTTGATGTTAATGAAAATATTTAGTAAAACTCTGATCAGCAGATTCAGATTTGTCCCCACGAACTCTTAACAGCTTGCAAAATTTACTTTTGTTTATAATTTCTGATTGAACTGAAAATTTTCCAAGTAAATCAGTTTTGATTCATTTATGGATCAGGAAAAAAAGTTTAATTTATCATTTCAGCATGGCCATAGTAATTATAACATTTGAGTGAGTGATTGGTCAAGCAGGTCAAACTAAGTCATTCATTTGATTTCAGTCATTAACTGATGGCTTGGTGCTTCTTTTAGGCAAAATGAGTTCAGGAGGATTTGTGATCAGCTAAAATCAGGTACTGTAATTTCCAGAGTAGAGTGCACCTGAGTATAAGCCACGCACACTAAATAAAAAAAAAAAAATACAATTTTATAAACGTATAAGCCGCACAAATGGCAGCATGCAGCTACTAAGAGAGATGTGCAACTCTTTTTGTAGATCAAGAATCAACCACCAGATGGTGTCTTATAGACTTTACTGTTCAACACACACACAGGGTGAACCCCGCACGTCTTTATGACAAGTACCTATCTCACTCATGGTTACTCTACTAAATGTCCTAACACAAGCTCGTTCGCTTGTCTCCATCCCCACACCCAAACAAAAAAAAGCCTTCAGCATTGTATAAGCTGCGGGGTTCAAAGCCTGTGAAAAAGTAGCTGCTTATACACGGGAAAGTACGGTAGTTTCAGTTTCAAACGTCAGGCTATGTAATGAAAGGTTTTCAGAGCTTATTTGAAACTTGGATGGGTCTACTAAAATTTTATTAACGTAAAATATTTAAGTCTGTGCTGCGAGACCTTTTATTTCCAGTGTCAAGCATTTACATTTGTATTTTTTACATTTACATGCACTAAATGAAAATATTTGTTCAGAAATAATTTAATACTTTGGTGTTTTTTTGGATGCTCTAAGCTTCACTCTCCTACTGTACAGTGTATGTATTCATGTGTAAAATAATGGATGTAAACACTATTAAAATAATCAAATCTGAGTTAACTCTTAGCATGTAGGCATTCGGTTCAGTGCCTCCTGAAGTACTGCAGTAAATCAAAGTTTTAAAGCTACGTTGTCTGTTTTTCTGTCGCTACCATGAGATGTTGAAACTTTGCACTTGAGATAAAACATCTTACAACTGGGTAAACTCTTTTTTTTACATTTTGCAGGTGATCTTACTGCCCCTCAGTTACATTGAAAACTGATTTATTTATTTGTTTTATACAGGTTATAAAGTGTAAGCCTACAAGACAACAGATCCAAAGTTGTGTTTTGTTGCATACCCTCACTGTTTGCTCCTCCTGCTGTAGCTGGTCGTTCCTTGAAGGTGCTTTTCACTGATCTTTAGATTTACTGCCTGGTTATGACACCTGAATCCTACAGAGAGAGATGAAACTTTCCTACTTGCCCCTTTAATCTTCTAAATATTTTCCCCACATCCCATTGTTAAAATGACTTTTAAGTGCCTTTTAACCTTATTTAATAAATCAGTCAATCTAAATGGCTTTTAACAGAGTAAACATAGCATTTCTTTATAAACTTTCCAATTAAGGCTATTCTTTATCGCTACACCCCTTCCTCCTCTGTAGTGAGTAATCCCAAGTGTCCTTTTAACCGGCAGACATTTTCTGAAGATCAGTATGAGGTGCAGGCTCATCCCGAGGAGGCGAACATCGTGATTATTTCAAGCCAGGAGCCCAAAATGCAGGTGACCATTTCTCTCACCTCGCCACTGATGAGGGAGGACCCTGCTGCTGAGAAGGACAAGCAGGCAGGAGGAAAAGCGGCTGAGAAAGGTTAGAGAAGCCAAAGCTTTCAGTACCAGACAACCAAATGTTTGTGGTCTCTGTGATAAACTTCTGTGAGCCATATTTTTTTTTTATCCCTTTCTCTACTCCTTCACCAGTCAGCACCCTAAATTTAGGCTGAGAAATTAGGCTTACAAAAACCACTTGGTGGGACTTTCATAATCCCCTCATTCAAGATATCCTTTCTTTAACATCTGATAGTTAAATCACACTTTCATTTGTCCCAGTCTTTTTTATTATATCCTGTATTATTTTGTTTTTGCAGCTGCATTAATCCCCCCTTTCTTTGTTTTCTCTCCACAACAATGGGAAGCAAAAAGCCGGGCTCTCCGACCTTTCTGTGCCACTCGAGTGTTTGTTTATTTCATGAACACGTGCTTACGGTCGCCCTAAGGTGTAAATGAACAACATTTGAAAGAACGGAATTACATTTGAAAAAACACAACAAAATCACAACATTTGAAAAAACGGAATTGCGTTAAGCCAAAGCGGAAGTGGCCAAAGCGAAAGTGGCCGGAATTACATTGGAAAATATGGAAGTACATTTAGCCAAAGGAAGTGGCCAGAATCACATTAGAAATGACTGAATTACATTAAGCCAAAGAGGAAGTGGCTAAAGCGGAAGTGGCCGGAATCACATTAGAAAAAACAGAATTACATTTGAAAAACACGGAATCACATTAGAAAAAAACGGAATCACATTTGAAAAAATGGAATGACATTTGAAAAAACGGAATTACATTAAGCCAAACAGGAAGTTTTTTTCTTTTACTTTATTAACAGCATAAAACTGAACAAAATAGCAATATACAGTATGCACACAATGGAGATACAGTTAAAAGGATAGCCTGCTAACTGTATCTCCATTGTGTGTGTACTGTATATTATTTTGTTCAGTTTTATGCTGTTAATAAAGTAAAAGAAAAAAACTTCCTGTTTGGCTTAATGTAATTCTGTTTTTTCTAATGTGATTCCGGCCATTTCCACTTTGTCCACTTCCACTTTGGCTTAATGTAATTCCCTTTTTTCAAATGTAATTCTGTTTTTTCTAATGTTCATTTACATCTTAGGGCCACCGTGCTTGCTCATGTAAAACGTTTAGGAACCTTTAAAAACAGCATTTGTTGCGATAATGCTCAGGGGTTAAAATGCTTCATATGATGACCGAGTTTTTTATTTTTAAAATCAACAGAATTTCTGCGTTTTTGCAGAAAACCCTATGGGCAGGAGTTTAGAGGTGCAGCAGCTTCTCATCCTCGCATCTCTCAGTCCTGGATCGTTAGACACAACATTATCAGCAATAAGGTGTTGGAGTGTTTGTTCTAGTTTCACGATGATCTGCATGATGCAACAGTTAGACAACAGGAGTGACTCCTTTGTCATGACTTCTCTAACAGAGAATACAGATAAAAGATCATCGTGTTGCAACCACTCTACCTGCTCCAGTATCTGTCAACATTTTAACGTTTTATTTTTATCCCTCATTTGGAAAACATGGTGCAAATGTTTTCTGTTGTTGTCTTTGATTTGTGTTTTAATTTTAGTTTGGGTTTGTTGATTCTGTTCTGGATCAGCTGACCCTGGTCAGCCAAAGGCTCGTATGAAGACCACACTACAACACGTACCACTATTAATAAAATAATTAGCCCATGTTTATTACGCTTTTCATCTTAAGAAAATCCTCCTGTTCACTGCTATCAGAGGGCTGAATCAAAGCTCTGAAAAGCGTGATAAACGTGGGTTTTTGATTTGAAGTGGTACGACAGTGTAGACTTCAGTACTGTCTTTGTTTTCTGTATTTCCCCTGTGCGAAAACTCATCTCACTTCTTTTGGACATGGAAGTGTGGAAACCTCCAGGACTGATCTTGTGTAATATTGCATCATTAAAGCGATCAGAACCACATTTACAGTTTTGAAAACGCGTCGTATTTAGGTAGTTTGTTCTAAAAATGTGCCTTTCATTGATGCCCATATTTTTGTTGCAACCTTCTAAACATCCTGCACACAAAATGCAGATGTTTACCTAAAACGGCATGAGGCGAAAGACAAGTTGTTTACCAGCACCTGGTAAACCGCTTTTAAAAACACAAAGGAAAAATATCCAGTAAAGAAAAGCCAGTTTAAATGATTTAATGGAAAATGAAAACTTTTCTATAACACTAAGCATGATCAGTTTATTATTTAATTGACTACATTAATGTTTGAGTTGATAAATGTTCAAATGCTACTGTGAAATTTGACAATTTTTGGGAGCTCATTGTACGAGGTCAAATGTAAAAAAGAAGAAATCTACAACTCTCAGAACTTGTACTCAATGAAGTTAAATGTTTTAAGTCTTAACTTGAACACCAAAAATGGACTTTTTCCTCAAAAAAGGGCGACAGAGTGACAGAGGCCATGTTATTTTGTTCTTAAACAAACAAAAAAAGTAGATTTCTAAAACTTATTCAGGGATAGAAATATATTTGTTTTAGGAGTTATTAGAAATGCATTGATCAGTCAAACTTAAAACTGCCAGGTGTTTTGCACTGTCAGGGCATTAAAATAAAACTTTGGGAGGTGGGCATGGTCCCAGAGGTCAATGCTGCATCGTATGACCTCTTATGTATCTGGTAGGTGCTCGGTCAAGCTGGGAAGCAGGAGAATTAGATGCAGGATCAGTGCCTTTCTTTCTTTGTTGCATTTTTTGGGACATTTTTAATTTTCATAAAATGGTTGCACACATTGCTGTTGATGCGAGGGAGGTGGCTGAGTGTAGTAGCTTTAGGATGTTTAGGAATCCAAGAAACTTCCACATTATTATCAGAATGAAAGCTTTTTCAGCAGAATGCAGTAGTCCCTCGCTACTTCGCGGTTCGTTTTTCGTGGACTCGCTCTATTACGGTTTTTCAAAATAAGATTGGACATGACACAATTAATTGGCTGATTGATGGATAAGCTGCACGATCAATATGACATTTTTATGTAAAATAAATTATTTTAAATTATTTAGCACCTGCTGCACATTTGTGCAGCCCAGAGCAGCGGAAAAAGCTTCCTCCTGCCACTCTGCGCTGCCCTTACTGCTGCAGGATAAACTTCCTGCTGCAGTTAAAACAGCTGGTCAGATGTTCAGCGTGCAGAGCGGAGAAGTGGGCGTGGCCAGGAACACTTGCAGGTGGCAAAGAGCAGAAGAAGCAGGGAGCTGAAATCATGACATTCTGTGCTCTTTTAGAGCGTTTAGAGTTGAGAAACATCGTTTGGAATTTGCAAGAGTGTGGGAAGGGTTTAAAACGCCTTAATATATATTTATATAAATACTAAAATAATTACTACTTACTACTTGTACTGCTATTCCTACGTTGCAGTTTTTCCACTTATCGCAGGTCTTCAGGGTACAGATCCCCCACAATAAACAAGGGACTACTGTATTACATTTAAACCTCAATCTGTGTGTTTTTAATGTTTTGGCTGATCAGTGCTGTAAGAACAAAATGGGAAACCGCTGTACTTCACTACATGATTAATGATTTCTCAAAGCTGATGTTTTGTCTTGTCAGTCAGCAAAAGCACGTTCTTTGTTTCTACTTACCAGTATGTTCCTGTTAATGACCAAGAACTGAAACTACTAAATGAAGATAATATTAATTTTATGAGTAATGTCTTTGAAAATTCAAAATGTAAGAGGAAAGGTCATTAAAATCCTAATTGGTTGGGACGAGCTTGCATATTATTTAACTTTAAAAATATAAAACATTAACTTTTTCTGATTTGTTGGATTTCTATATTCTGCTTTTTTACATTTACCTCCAACAGTTCTCTGCAAACTACGTTTGTGCTTTTTTCCTATTGACTTTCATTTAGAAATTATGTTCTACTTGAAACTTGCTCTTTTACCTTTTTGATGCCTGCCAGCCTCTTATGTTCTTCTTATTTTCATTAGGACTTGAGGGATGACTGAAAAGTCTTGTCGTAATGTCCACCTGAAGTTCCACAGAGAAATATCTAGTCCCTGATGAGTGTCATGCCACATTTTAACCGTGTGAGTTTTGATTTAGCTTCACTACAAGTTGTAAGTCAGTGGTTTTATTTTTACAGATGTGTCTGAGAAAGATCCTCCAGACCCTTTGAATAAGAAGAAATGTTTGGAGTACCTGGCTGCTCTTCGTCACGCTAAATGGTTTCAGGTAAAACTGAACAGACATCACTTTTATTTACGTTAGTCTCAACCATGCTGGCTTTCTAAAAACGACATACTATATGGTGACAATCTGTGACCGCATATCAGAGTCAGAGAGATTTATTTGTCATACACACCCCGTGTGGTACATGTGGTGGAACGAGATTATGTACACAGGGTCCCAGTTACATCCCACAATAAAATGTAAAAGAAAAACAGTAATAAAATCTAAGATATGAACTAAGAAAAATATCACTAAATATAATGGCATAATGCATAAAAACAATAAAAAACAATACGCTGAACAGCAGCACAAACACGAGTCTGTGAGTCTATATACCAGACAATTTGTTAAATAAATATAAATATACGGTATATAGAAAAAAAATTACTGTATTTTTCTACCTTTTGCATAATTTGCATGTCCTACAACTTATAGGCCAAAGCAACGTATTTATGAATATTTTCCCATTTTTATAAACCAATTTTTGTCTGAGATATGACTGTTTTCATTCATTCTCACTGAAAATATTGAGAACTATCATTTTCAGCAGCTAGATGGCACTCGAGTGTGTGGCATGCCGTTGTGTCATATAATAGGTTATAGGGGCTATTATTGACACAATCAGCTTGCCATAGGACCAATGTCGTCCAGCTCGCCTGGAGCAACCATCAAATCAGCTTCATTTTGCTGCGCCTCCTCTATGAAATGAAGCTGATTTGACCATTGCAGTGCATTTATTAAGTAAAAGTTCAACTGAGACACACCTTTAATATAATGTAGATCAAACAAATGATTGTTTTTAGGTGGTTGTTAAATTTCGAACAAATGCCCTGTGAGTTGACCTCTGCTCGTTCCCGTTTCTGCGTATCGGCTTTTGAAAATGCATCTGATTTGACCGTCGGAGTGTATTTATTAAGGAAAAGTTGAACTGAGACACACATTTACTATAATTGTGAGCAAGCAAACAATTGTTTTTAAATGTTAATCTTGTTAAAGTCCTCGCGTGCATGCTTCTGCGGCCACCATTTGGCAGTCAATCGATTTTTGGCACAACACCGGCCCACATTTCCAGGTTGTCAGCGGTGACGCATAATAGATGCAACGTATTTATGGATTTTTCCACTTTATTAGACATATTTGGACTGATGTGACTTATAGGGTGGTGCGACATGTATGGCGGAGAATACGGTAATAGAAGAGGAAACCCCTCTCCTCATTAAGGCAGCGAGTTGTCATAAAGTTACAAAACAAAAACCCCTGCGCAAACTTTCTATACAAACTTAAATGTATGCACAAAACAAAACCTGATCTAAGGAAAATCCTTAGATTCTGCCTGTCAAACGTCCATTTTTTATTTTTTATTTCTGTAGGCTCGTGCAAACGGATTACAGTCTTGTGTGATCATCATTCGAGTGCTGAGAGATTTGTGTCAGCGTGTTACCACCTGGGGGAGCATGCCTTGCTGGGTATGTACTTTCAGCTGTCTGCTGATTTGAAGTTTGTAATTTATATATTATGATTTCTTTATTCTGTGCGCTTCTCGATTTTTTTCGTCCAATGACGTAAACAAGCTTTTAAAACAGGATTTGTCCATTTCAAATATTCCTGTACTGTGTGAATAAACTTTATTCAGTATGTGTGTGTGTTCTGCTTGAATTTTTGTTGCAGGCGATGGAGCTACTGGTGGAGAAGGTGATCAGCAGCGCCAATGGACCGCTTAGTCCAGGGGAGGCCATGCGTCGGGTCCTGGAGTGCATCTCCTCAGGCATTCTGCTGCCAGGTCACAAAACACAACTTACTGAAATAAATAAGTGGACTGATGGGGCTGCGGTAGCTTGGTGGTCAGTGCTGCAGTCTTGTAATCCTGAGGTTGCGGGTTTGAGCCCAGGTTGCGTCAGGAAGGACATCCACCATAAAACAAATTGCCAAATCGTTCATGCGAGTCCGCTCGCTGTGGCGACCCCCTGAAGAAGGGAGAGGCCGAAAGCAACTTAACTTTTACTGACAGGCAAACAAATACATGCTCGTGCAGATTTTCCTAAGAAAGTTCCATAGTTTTATATTTATTTTTACTTTGAAGAGTTTATTTTTCTTCCTTTTCCTGAATGTACGTAATGAGGGGTTCTTTTGTCTTTAAATTCACTTAAACATTTTTTCTGCTGTTCTCGTTACACAGACGGACCAGGTTTGATGGACCCCTGTGAGAAAGAGCAAACTGATGCTTTGATGAGCATGACTCTTCAAGCTCGGGAGGAAATAACTGCGAGTGCGCAGGTAGCCAGCTGTTGTTTTTTCACTGCTAAATGTCAGTAGTGTTTGGATTAAAGCTACACGTGCTGGTTTGCGTTTTCTCTCGTTGCAGCATGCTCTGCGGCTGCTTGCTTTCCGTCAGATCCACAAGGTCTTAGGCATGGAGTCCCTGCCGGTGTCCAAGGCGAGCGCACGTAACCGCAAGCGTCGACGGGACGTCAGCGAGAGCGGCGAAGGAGAGGGGGAGGGCAAAAAAGACAAGAAGGAGGAAGAAGCAACCGCTTGACCACTGCCCTCACAAGCGGAAGAGTTTGCTAGGTTATAGACTTGTAGAATGTCACTTTCTTTTTTTTATTATTTTGGAAAGAACCTCAACATGCAGCTGCACACATCTAAATATAACTTTGGCTCTACATGTTACACGTCTACTTAAATCATGAATAAGGTCTCTGAGGAGTTTTGGGGCTGACGTTTTCAGGCCTGTACACAATTCTTTCACTTGTATATGCAGTTGTTGTGTATTGTAAAGTGTGCAGAGTACGTTACGTTTCAAAAATCAGCATAATGGCACACCAACTTCTGACCATCCTGCTCATGTTTTCAATAATCACCACAGCTGTTCTCTCCACATTAAAGGCCTCAGTAGAATTCAAAGATCTTGCACCTTAAACTTTGTTGTAATCATTTCTGTTTAAAGAAAAAGAAAATTAACTCTCTGCATCCATTGTTTTGGGGACTCTGAAATAACGTTGCTGCTGAAACGTTTTGCGTTGGAAAGACGAGGTGCTTTGAAATTGCAAAGGAAGATCAGATGAGACTGCTACATAAATAAAATGCAGAGGTTTTAACGGTGCTTACAAATGACGAATCAGACAAATCCACCACGTTCTGTAAGTTTTGCACCTTTTAAGCTCCTATTAAGAGCGTTTGTTTCCATTTACATTAAATACTGGAGGGAAACGCGTCGTGAACTCAAACCAAAGGTTTTCACTTCAAAGACAAAAAGCTAAAGTAAGTCATGAAGCCTACGCAAACAGGAACTAACCGCTGAAACTTTTAATATGAAAATAAACCTGTCTGAAGGTGGAGGTGGGGGGTCTTCTTGCACAATGGTACTCTGAGGGAATTAAGCACTTAAGAGGTAACGTATGCAGTCATAAATCTATCTGAATATTATGCTTAGTAATATTTTATTTTCTTCCAAAGAAATGATGTGCAGACAGGAGAAGCTTTAGTCGGATAATAAAGACTAAATATCTGCTGTTGAGAGGAAATGGTTCCAGTCTTATGACTTTCTTCCCTGTGCCTGGATCATGTGTATTTAAAAAAAGACTGAGTTTGGGGAACATAAGTTGTTTTTGTGTGTTTAGTACTGTACTGATCTCATTTATTAGAGGTGTGTGATAGGAAAGGGACAGTTGCACAACTTGGGTTTAAAAGCTGAAGTGACTTTGCTTTTTTTTTTAGTTTATTCAGTAACCTCTGCTTATTTTATTTACAAATAATATTTGCAGTCTATTTTGTACCGTTTCATTGGAAAGTGTGAAAGTAGCTGTCTATTATTTGAATGTATTTGTAGTGTTGCCTCGTATAAGGAGGAAATAAAACGCACTAAAGCCGTATTTTTAGGTCGTTTGTTTTATTTATTTATTTATGAATTACTTTGAAACGAACAGCCAGAAGGCGTCAGCGTCACCTCTTACTCATAAGGAGACACATTTCGAGATAATTAAGGAAGTGGTTGACAGAAGACGACGTCCAGGCTCAGATGTGGGACACAGAGACTGCTCCAGCCGAGATGGTAGCACTGAAGCTGCAAAAGAGATGAAACGACTCGAAAATCTCATCCGATAAGTTTTATGGTTGCGTTTATCACAGCTGTTCGGAGGTCTGAGTGTTCCCACAGAGCTGCAGGTACTGAAACTTTTACGGCTGTTTTATTTTATTAACTTTTGGTTGTATTTTGGACTTTAGTTCCCTTAAATGTATCACAAAGCAGCCTTGTCCTTTCTGCTCTGTTACATTTTTGTTTCACAGAAAACTTCAGTCAACTGCTGATATAGCAAGGTACGTATTAACCTGAACATGTGCTGAGTTAGTTACTTTTCTACATAAGCTTTGTTAATAAATAACTTGTCAACTTTATTACACAAAGTAAGGTGATCAGCTTTATGATGTGGCAGGCAGTTGTAACATATATTCAAACTGCTCTCTGTCTTGCTTTCCACTATGAAATGCAGGCAATAATGTACCAGTAATTGTCTTCGTGTGTTAGCAAAATATTTCAAGAGCTACTGGGACAATTTTTTTTGTAAACCACTCAAGTAATGGTAAGCTTTTGGAGTCAAGCAGAAGATGAACATAGAAAGAGCCAATACAAAAATGGCTAAAACTATCAGCTCTGACTACACCAAGTTTTAGCTTAATGGCAAAAGAAGTTACTGAGTCGGAGCCATTTTTGTGCCAACTTTTTAGTTGGATGTGGCTGCCATTTTATGTTAACTTCAAAAGTTAATAAGCTGTAGATATCAGATGATTACTGAGAGTTTCATTCAAACCTGTCGTTAATGTGATCTTAATCACATCAAAATTATTAATGGCATGTATGGATGTTATTGGCTTTTGTAAAATAATAGTTTTCCTAGTCAGAGCTGTAAATAGTTAAAGTTCTCCTGAACTAGTATAAGAAAACAAGGCAGAAATACTCAGTCTGTGCATAGCAGGTGCACACTGGGTATAAATGAGGTACATACTGGATACTACCAGGTACTTGCTGGTGCTGTTATATATTTCCGTCTTAAAATATATCTAATTAAAGTAAACTTAAGCTGCTGCTTTTAAGTTTTATAACTAGCCTGAAAGGTTTATTTTAGATGCACTAAATTAACTTTATCCCAGAAATATTTTGTATTTTTATATGCCTTTTGTTTCAGTTTTGTTAAGTGAACTGATGTCATACCAGTTGTTTTTATAACATAAGTAAATTGAGTGGTACAATCAGAGTTCTAATCTGACTTATTATTTAAAACAAAAACAAAAAAACTTTGTGAATTCACGTTCCGAGTTTCTACTCCTCGTCTGAGACGTGTGGGTATTAAAACTGTAACAATCTGTTTTATATGATTTCCTGCTCTTTGTTGCAAATTGTGGTTTGTTTGTCATACTTGTTTTCTTAGCTCTTCCTGTCTACACTTGCACTCATAAAAAATACATTTGGTCTGGGTCTGGTAATTAGATAAAAAAAAAAAAA